ACTACTTATGTTTAATGACTGCATTGATGGCAATGTATACCGTCATAAATTTGATGTATCTCTTAATTTCTAATCTCCAAACTGCATAAAGTTAAATAGGTTTAAAAAAAAAAATTCACAGGCATCAATTTTGATCAGACTAGCTTCGGCTAAAAACTATTGCTAAAATTGCTCTAATCATTCAATTTTTGTTTTGAGTTGTGTCTTGCTTCATGTCATTGTTACAATGCATTTTCGAACATTTACTGTCCGTTTTTAATCCTTACTTAACTTATCATGTCTTTTAAATAAATACAAACTGTTGAACTCGACGTTTTGTATAAAAAAATAATGATCTCAAAACTCTCATGACATGCCGACCACGCCGAGGAGTCTGTGTTTTCTATTCTTTTCCTACTATTAAAATTATTATTTTTCCTTGAGTTTAGTTCAGAAAAATAAATTATCACTCTCATTTAAGCGTCTCTGATCACTCTTTTTATTCATGACGAGGTAATTGATTCGCGATTTCAACCCGAGTAAAATTTGTATAAGCCACAAATACATAACCCACAAACTTTCTGAGCTTGAAATAATTCTTTAGGATATTAGAAAAGGCAGCTGGCGAATTTATTCAGTGATAAAGGAAATATATTTTAATGGTTCGATCGTCTTCATTAGAAATATATTCCTTTCATCTTCGTCAATTGCTTCCGTCTCAGCATTCACTTCCCGTTCAAAATTGCAGATTACGGTCTTCCACAGCGTGGGGTATCTTGCATGGTTTCGCAACCATCTTTAAAATCATGAAACCGACTCCAATTTGTAGGATATGTCTGAAAATTGAATTCCTAATGTCGGTCTTGATATCAGCAAGAGAGTGCTCTGCCCAGATTTTACAGGATGATCTTTTCTCGTTTTTACATGGTTTTCATTTACACGCATATATCTGTCTTGTGTGCTGAACGTACAGCCGCATACCATTTCATGAAAATTTATTGGCATGTTGATCGACTCAAATTTATTGACATGTTCAAAGAGATTAAAATATAATAACAAAATATTCAGAACTTCTTTTTATAATTACCCCATTTATATCTCAAAATGTTTTTCTTTTTGGGGTTATATTTTATACTACAACAGCTTGTGGAAATATTCATTCACGTTCCTTCATTTATTCAGTTAAACTGATTCTCGTTAAAATTAACCAAATATATAGAAAGTAAACAATTTCAACGATATATCCGAAAGAAAACTATTTAATTGTTCTTTGAGTTTTTAAATTATTACATTTTGTAACCTGACAAAACATGTAGTCTTGAATTGTGCATTGTCAATCCTTTTTGAAGTGTACTATGTAATATATAATCTGAAATTTAACCGGATATATTGGCTATTACATTTTTCTTTTTAGGATTTTATTCATCTACATTAGTGCTTCTGCATCATCTTAGTATATTTCTAAGAGCATACAATGTACCGACCTCAAGGACTGCTGTATGTAATTGCCTACTTCACTTTGGTACTTGGACTGATAGAAGAAATGCCAATGCCTCCAGTTTTATTAGACTGTCTGAACAGTTGTCATAAAGTCACGAACATCACCACGACTGTAGGTGAGCACATTTATAAAACATGTCTGGAGGCAAACACAATGAGGTCCAAGGATATTTCTTGGAGCTGGGTCAACGCTTCTTGGTTTATTTATGGACCGGATCATCAAGTACACAAACGGCAGACCGGTGGATTGCGGTTCCCTCCTTCTGGATTCCGCATCAGGAAGGAATATCGCCAGCTTACTGATTCTGAGAGAAATAGATTCCACGCCGCTCTCAACCGAATGCAAACAGTAAGTGTAACTAATGAAATATTATCGAAGTTAGACTGGAAAGAAGTTATAGAATATAACATTATCTTGTACTCGTATGTGCCGTGAAGAAATTAAACAAAATATAAAAAAATTTAATACTAAACTCCCGTTTGTGCAATAGTTGGGGGTTGTTTTCATCTTAATTGCCTTTAAGTATCATTGCAAACTTAAGATCCGTATATCTAATTTATAATGTCTGTGTAATTAGACATGTACATACAAAACTGGATACATGTATTTATACAGTGGTCAGCACAACACTATGGCATTAAATCCTCAAAGTTTGCTACATTTTGCCCACAAATTACCAAACCCAATTATACAACTTAATGTCTCATGTGCAGATAAATAGGCGATCAACACACATGAGTCATATATGTTAGTATGGTATCATATCAATATTTAATTAGTGTGACCTACTTTGAAAGAATGGTTCAATTCGCCTCTTCTCTGATTGAACCCTCAATATCCTCACCAATGCGATTCTATCTATCTATCTATCTATCTATCTATCTATCTATCTATCTATCTATCTATCTATCTATCTATCTATCTATCTATCTATCTATCTATCTATCTATCTATCTATCTATCTATCTATCTATCTATCCATCCATCCATCCATCCATCCATCCATCCATATATATATATATATATATATATATATATATATATATATATATATATATATATATATATATATATATATATATATATATATATATATATATATAGAGAGAGAGAGAGAGAGAGAGAGAGAGAGAGAGAGAGAGAGAGAGAGCAGTTCGCTAACGTAATAAATTCCTCAGACTGTTCTGTTATGCATCAGTACCCCTACACCCCGCGAGGACAATGAATCTGTTATAACTGATGTGCATAATTCTTCCGGAAGTAGGGTGAGTGCAATGATTGGTCAACACGAACATTTTCTCATGATGGCTATATTGTGTCCCAAGTTTCAGAGTAATTTGTAAACTGGCTATATTACAAAATTCATTTTGCTATATATTCTTTACATTTATTTCTCAGTACTGAACATTCCACTGTGTGACCATCAATAAAAATCATATGTTAGCTTAAAATACCTTTAGAGATGACTTCATGGTGAGGTTCTTGTCAGAGGCTTTACTGTCAACAAACTAATGTGCAATGAAACACAGATTTCACTTCCAGATCATCACCAAGACCTGTACATTGTCGCCGAAAAACACACAGACAACCAAATCATAATCTTATATTATAAAGAATAAACAATTGCCTTTAAATTCATACCAAGAATGCTTAAATCTAACTCTTGTATCACCACCAAACAGAGACAGGAAAAAATACTCAACAAATAGACTGGGTCTACATTCGTGGGTCCTGAACTGGAAGTACTAAGTTTGTCCTGATGTTTGTGTAGCCAATTTTAGTCAAACTCTTATATTTGCATGCCACACTTATTTTAACTTGATACATTAAGTCTTTTGGAATTTCATTGCAACAAGACATGAGACAGTTGTCAGAAACTGTGTAGTTCTGGTGTTCCGCAGGGTGCAAGTTGTGGTCCAAGAACCAAACCTAAATTTGCTATATCTTCCTTAATTATAGGAATTTTTCAATGCAGTAGAAATCTAATTGTAATACGTGATTAGACTTATCTGAAAATATGTTTGCCATTTAAGAAAATCAATCAATTAAATTTTAATGAAAATTTAAATAAACATTTAGATTTTAAAAACTAAATTTTATTGAAAAATTAATTTTTCATACAAGTTATTAATTCAATTTGACATATTTAAGGCAGCAAAGTTGACTAGTGAATGGTATTTAAAACAAATCGTACTTTGGATCTGTAGAACTGATAACATTTTTCTCAGGGGTACTGAAGCATGATAGCTCACATTGATTTTGGCAGCAAATTGCAATATGCCTATCCAGAGTATATAGGTGTATACACTAAAGAAACAATGACAGGTGATATATTCCACATTTATTGTGTCAGATTCTTAAGCAGTTGTTTGTATAAATAATAGTGCACTCAAATTTAAGTTTTGATGGGACCACTACCATGTTTTATAGCAAAATTGTATTCATTGGTCGATAACAACAAAAAGGTGACGATGTGATAGGAAAATACAGTTTCCGGGAGGTTCCACCTTGCTGAAAAATGGTGCGAATCTCTCGCATGAAGATCTAAGCCATGTCTTTGAGGTGCTATATATCAGTGTGCTGATATGAGCTAATCTTTGTGACTTATAGCAGTACATTACGCATGTCCTTATGAGACCTTGCTATCACCACACTACTGAGAGCTTCCAAACTGATCCAGCTCTAATACTTTGTTCAGATACCAGAATAGACCAAAAAAGATATAACATGTTTCACTTAATTTCTGAAAACAGTAATATGTAGGCAAATGAAGTTAAATGTGTTGGCAATGGTGATTTCAAAATAACATTCAGGTTGCAAATATAGGAAAATATAGTAAAAACAGAGTGACACTCAGAAATCTGAAGCAATGGGCATGTATTAAAGTAATAAATGCAGGCTAAAATAGATGATGTTTATAGAAGCATATTTAGCTATTTTCAGGATAAATAACTAGTCAGGTAGAGTACGTATCATAAAGTTTAAGGCAATGTTGGACCGGTGAGGTTTGATCATCGGTGCCAACATTAATACATACCAGCGTACAGTAAAGTCAAATGATGATGTACCAAATTAAAATATATTACTATAAGCAATCTTATTCATGAGGAAAATAACAAGTTTGGATATTGCAAGTCAATAAAGCCAGATATGGCCAAACATATCAACTATAGGTACCAATAGATCCTATATCATCAACCAAATGTGAAATTCTGTTAAGTCCTTAAATCGGTTGTCGTGTACATAAGTGCACTGTAGATTGTAATTCGTTATTATATAATGTATGCTAAATATATGCTCCCTATAAAACGGTGACTATCTCATTCTCCCAGGGCATAATTCCAATTATTAACTTTGTGGCTGAGTTTATGTTTAGAATTACCATGTTTATGTTTTAAATACATCAATACTTTCATTTATACCAGAATCCATATAAAAGCAGAGTGAACAACAACAATAACACAGACAATATTAATAATGATGCATCATTTACTTATTCAACGGTACCAATTAATTAAGGGACCACTTCGGTGACCTAAATGGTTAGAGCATCCGCCTAATATGTGGAAGGTCGCGAGTTCGAACCCCGGCCTAGTCATACCAAAAACTTTTAAAAATGGTCCTAGCAGCTGCCTCGCTTGGCGCTAAGCATTAAGACGTTAGTGTTAGGACTGATTGGTTTGGTGTCAGGATAATGTGACTGGGTGGGACATCATGCTACATGTCTGCAGGATGATGCAACAGTGCTAGAAATCACTATAAACTGCCACACTGCAGATATCTTAGCGATATGACTGAAAAATTGTTAAAGCTATGTTAAAATTCCAAATCACACACATGCGCGCGCGCACATTAATTACAGGCTAATAAACTGTCCATATCACAGAATCCATATCGTTTTACCTTCATGACCACACGATGGCTAATACAACAACAAGGAAAATAATATTGTCTGAAACACTTTCATTCCATTGTGTTTGAGTCTATGCTTACTTCTGTGTTTGTGCATAAAGCATACTAGAGCTACAACGTTTACCGTAATAGTTGTTTCGTTACGGTGTGTGTGTATATATATATATATATATATATATATATATATATATATATATATATATATATATATATATATATATATATATATATATATATATATATATATTAGGACGGATCGTTCGAAGAGATCTCCAGTTACCACAGAAACATTGCCGGGGACCCTAATGTTCTCAACCGCTTGCATCAAGGACCCGCATTTCTTGGATGGCACAGGGCTTACATTACGCTGTACTCTCTCTCTCTCTCTCTCTCTCTCTCTCTCTCTCTCTCTCTCTCTCTCTCTCTCTCTCTCTCTCTCTCTCTCTACATACACACATATGCACTGTCTCTCACGAACTCACAAACATACACATACCTTAACAAACACACACAAACACATAGACTGTAGACAAGTCCATGTTACACAATTTAAAATATCATTCGGATATAAGAATTTGTCTCAAATATTTAGTATGATCATGTATCTCAATGTTTTTTCAGGCATTCATGTGAACATATTATGACATCTGTATCTTTCTCGTGTGGTCATCCATGTCAAAAGCTGTATCGAATAGGCATGGATGTCTCCCATTGAATTTCGTCTAATGCATATAACTCTTTTTCTTTTAGACTTGAGGAGGTTCTTCGGAGATATGACAGTTCTGTTTCGCTACCTTACTGGGACTCCACCTTAGACTTCGATATGGCGACTGATCCATCCCAGTCAATAATTTGGACCAGTCAATTTCTAGGCAACGGTCAGGGCACAGTAACTACAGGGCCATTTGCAAGATGGCCGGGAGGGCAGAGTCGACTTCTAACCAGAGGAGTCATCAACAACCGTAGGGGGAGGCTGATTTCTAAACAAAACATTGCTAATGTACTGACCCGATGTAGGACAGGTGATGTCTCTTCACCGCCCAGTATTGGTGACTCTGTGATAGAAGCCCATCATAATGGTCCACACAATTTTGTTGGCGGCTCCAGTGGGGATATGTCATTTTTACAAACAGCTACGTATGATCCGGTATTTTTCATGCATCATGCGTTTGTGGATTACATATGGGAGCTATTCCGGCAGAGGCAAAGAACTGTCTGCAATATCAATCCGACAATAGATTACCCAGCAAACGTGAATTTGCATGAGGCAGACCGCCGGATGTGGGGGCGGAATTTGTCGGAGTACAGAAACATTGATGGCTATGCTGACTTTTGGACGGAGAACTGGTACCGGTACGAACCTGCTCCTTCTTGCAGTCGACAGAATCCCAATGGATGTGGATCTCAGTATCTTGAATGCGATCTTACCAGGTACGTGTGCGTTTCCAGAACACGGTCTGCAGCGAGTCCAGCACCTCGGCGAAGAAAAAGAGCTGTCATTCATCCACTAGCTGTTGCAGAAGATATAGAAGATATCAGTATTAATATTCAGTATTATCCTTTGCAAAATACATATTCAGTGGACGGGGAACCCGACAGTAGGAACTGGGTGTATTTTCCAGTTCAGGTCGTAAACATGCGCCTTAGTGACTATACATACGCCTGCTACCCTTATTACGAAGGAGAATATCAGAAAGCCAATGATATATACTTTTCTCCACTTGGCGCCTATATCTATAATTTTTCAAAGCCTGGAACTCCAAAAGAGTTTTCTAAGTGTATGAAATACCCATCTGGAGCTTTTCCAGTATATGTACAATCGAATGGGATCAATTATTATGGGGCATACACAGATTACGCCATTGTAGATAGCAGACTACCCCTGACGTCATCCATGATCTATATAGGTGTGAGGAAGCCGCCAAGCGACGGTGTCTGGAATCGGTACACAATTAATAAAATCCGGTTCAGTACCCACGAATGTAGTCCCAGTCTATTTTTAGATCACTTTTTCCGGTCTAAATTTAGTGGTGATACTAGAGTCAGATTTTGGCATTCTTGGTAAGGATTTAAAGGCAATTGTTTATTCTTTAAAATGTGAGCTTATGGTGTGGTTGTCTGTGTGTATTTCGGCGACAGTGCACATTGAGTAATAAGGTCATGGTGATGATCCGGAAGTGAATTCTGTGTTCCGTTGCCTGGTGTTTTGTTTACAATTCAGCCTCTCAAAAAAATGCAGGTCAACCCTTGACAAGAACTAAACCGTAAAGTCATCTTTGAAGGTATTTTAGATTAACATATGATTTGTATTGATTGTCACACAGTGGAAAGTTCAGTACTGAGAAACAAATGTAGAGAATATATAGTGAAATTAATTGTGTACTATGTCCTGTCAGTAAAAACTTGAAACTGATATAAAATTTTTATTATTAATGACATACACATGAAATTTTAATAGGTTATGTATATTGACTTTAAAAATATAAAAATGAAATTAAAAATAAAAAAATAATTTTAATTTTAAAAATTTAAATGAAATTTAAAAAAACAATTAAAAAATAAAAATTTTCCACCAAGTATACACATATATAATATTTTTTGGGAATGATATTAAATGATATCAGCATATATATACTCCTACACCATATACAAGCTCAAATGATGGATATTTGTCAAATTTGATCAGAGAAAATATCTTTATTAGTCAAAATGAGACCCTCATTTAAAATACATGAAGACAAAATTCTACTTTGCTTTGTACCTTTAGGTCATTGAAACTATTTATTTGGGGTTCAAACAGCTAATTTATGTGTTTATGATGGGGTGGCTTCCTGAGTAACACATATCTGCTTGTATAGCTATCAGTAATTGTTTATAACCATAGTTATAGGGTATTTAGTGAGAGGACAGAGATGAAGACTTTATACTAGAACCTGTTCAAATTGTCTACAAATTCATATTAAGCTGTCAGAGAATGAAATACAGGTCAGAGGGGTAAAATATACTTTACCCAGGTATATTTACCATTGCATGTAAGAAAACAGCAAAATGATGTAAGTTGAACACAGAATGCATTCCATTTTATTGTTCAGTTTCTTTAAGATTTTGATTGATTTACTGCGACATTGTAGCCTAGATGATATTATGGGAATTCTCATGATCCATTTTGCTTTATGCATTATTAATGACTAATAATATTTGTTATCTGACACTTTAAAGATTACATAAGTAATATTCAAACAGATTATTTGAATTTAACTTTCTACAACTGATCCTAACATGGTTACATAGCTGACATGAACAAATATGCATATATTTTGTAATGTTTGGAATCAAAAGTTGACATTGTTAGGCTGACACGGTACCTATAGTGAATCTGTAAGGCTCAGTTTTGATTGTGTGCACTTAAAATATCCCAAGATGTTATTTTCATCATGAATATGCCTCTGTATGGTAACACATTTCAATTTAGTACTTTGACAGAGGGCGGTATTGCAGCATCAGCTGATATTTCATTCCATTGAATCATTGAATCATTGAACTTAAAACCTTGGTAGCCAAGACTCTTAAAAATAGACTAAAAATATTCAAACAGATTATTTGAATCATGTTTGCACATGTGATTTTAACAAGTACATTGCATATGTCCCACACATGCAAATATCCATCCTTGTTTACAAGTTTTCGGGATGCAAATTTCACATTTAGTTGATGATATAGGATCTATTGGTACCTATAGTTGATCTGTGTGGCCACATTTTGCTATATTCACTCACAATATCTAAAATTGTTTTTTCCTTCATGAATAGGATTGCATATAGTAATAAATTTTAATTTGGTACATTGTCATTTGACTTTCCACTATACTGGTATGTATCAATGTTTGCACCAATGATCAAACCTCACCATTCCAACATTGCCTTAAACTTTATGATACATACTCTACCTGATTAGTTATTTAACCTGTAAATGGCTAAATGTGCTTGTAGAAACTTCATCTATTTTTAGGATGCATTTGTCACTATAATACATGCCCATTGCTTCACATCTTTGAGTGTCACTCTATCAAGTTTACCTTTTTTAACCATATTTGCAACCTGAATGTTATATTGAAATCACCATATCTAACACATTTTAACTTCATTTGCCTACATCTTCCTTTTTTTTAGAATTAAGTGAAACATGTTATATATTTTCAGGTCTAGTCTGGTATCTGAAACAAAGTATTAGAGTTGGATCAATTTGGAAGCTCTCCAGTAGTCCAATGGTGATAGCAAGGTCTCATAAGGACATGTGCAGTGTGCTGCTATAAGTGACCAAGATGAGTTCATATCAGTACACTGATATACAGCATCTCAAAGACATGGCTTAGATCTTCATGAGAGAGATTCGCATCTTTTTTCAGTAAGGTGAAACTGTATTTTCATATTGCATTGTTGACTTTTGTAGTTATCGGCATTAAAATGGAATGCATATTTGCTATAAAACATGGTAGTGGTCCCATCAAAACTTTAAATTTGAGTGGGACATTAGTTATACAAACAACTGTCCAAGTACCTGAAACAATAAATGTGGAACATAGTACCTGTCATTGTTTCTTTAGTATGTACACCTATATGCATCTGGATAGGCATATTGTAATTTGCTGTCAAAATCACTGTGAGCTATCATGCTTCAGTACCCCTG